AAGTCCTAGATCCGGGGCCCCCCTCCCACTGCCCTAGAAGACTGTTACACCGTCTCGGAGTTTGGCCTGAGTTAAGAGGGGTCTCTGAGTCCCTGTGCCTCACTCTATCTCTCCCAGCTTGGGTAGATGAAGCCGCCACACCAAAGGCCCCCCATTGCAGGCCTGAAGATTTCTGGGCCCACCTTCCCCCTACCCAGCCCAACTCCCCAGCTCACTTTTTCAGCAAAGACAGTGCTTTCGATCTGTCTGTGAAGCTGCTCCTCTGAGCTCTCTGGGTGTCAACCTCCAGCCAGCCAGTCTTGGTCTGTCCCTCCCAGCCCCCTCTGGGAGGCTTTATCGCCCCTGCCAGTGGCTCCCGACCATATTTGGCCACAGGGGCAGGGGGCCCTTGCGGGGAGTCTTTACCCCCCCTGCCAGTGGCTCCAGACCATATTTGGCCACAGGGGCAGGTGCCCCTAGAGTCTGTCACTGATACCCGAGGCCTCCCTCTCTCCAGACTGGACAGTCATGACCACGTGGAGGTCCTGGTATCCTCTGTCTGAGCACCCCACTCAGGGGCAGTGCTGGGGGACTCAGGCATTCACACCCCAAGAAGTGTGAGAAAGATCCAGAAAGGACAGGAACCTCCCAGCAGACCCCTGTAATACCCCTTCTCCACCTCCATCCCAGATAAACAACCTCCTCCCCCTCCCCCTCCACTGCTATTTTGGGAGCAGAGTGACAGCTGAGGGGCTGACAGACTTGCACACACTGCCGATTGCCCAGCTCCTGGATCAACTGGAGACTTCCAGAAATGCCTTTCTGGAGGGAGGGCACGGAAAGAGGGGGAGCAGTTTCCTTCCCATCTCCCACTTGTCACGATATCTCACACTGCAGTCATTTGTTGAAAGACATCCTCGCTTTTCAGAAAGATCAGCAGGACTGGTGACTTGGTTTAGTGTAGGTGGGTGGCTGTTTGGTTGGCATGCCGCCCACTCCCCCCCTCTGTCACATGAATAACATCTCCCTGGGGCGGGCTCTGTTATTCCCCTAGGACAAGGGCTGGGCCAGACTGGGGATTTCCTGAGATAAGACTGTACTCCCTCATCTGAGGTTGTCCCCGCTTGGACACGGAACTCTCCTGCACGTCAGGAGCCTGGGCTATGGGCTCCCTCCTGGAGGGCAAGGGCAGCATTTTATGTGACTTGGCTCCCCAGGTGGGGAGCCTGGCAGGGCAGTGTCTGACACATGTTTCCAGAATGAATGAAAGGATGAATGGGTGGTGTCTTCACGCCGATGATTAACTCCACTCATTTCCTGTCTCCCCTCCACACACACACACACACACACACACACGTACACACACACACACACACACACACACATCTTCTAACTTACCTGGCTGGGGCTGAGGAAGGCTCTGAAGAATCACCTGTGCTAGATTCTGCTCCTAGCTCTGTGACCTTAACTTGTTCTACTGCCCTGCAGGTCACAAAGCTCAGGTCTAATGCATGTTTGTTCAATGAATAAATATATTAACAGGTGAATGAATGAATTCTCTGCCCTCAGGATGTCCCAAACGCTGGGCCCCTTTGTGGGACAAGCTCTCTGTAGCAATGAGTAAGATGAGAAAGGACCCCACTA